CTTGCATTACAAAGGAATGTTGGCGGCTTACTTAAGTTATACCTTGCACGTCGATTAAAGTCAAGTAAAGCCCTTTCAAAGACGCGTGCCATATTAAACTACAGGTCACATGGCGGTAGAGAACTCGACGAAGTATTCGCGATATTTCATAGCGAGTTCAAACGCCACTGTGTACTGTTCCCGTGAATTATGATGCCCAACACACCGGGTAACACAATTAACCACTTTGTTCGGCTGTTCCAAGTACACTTTTAAGATACAAGGTCCGATTATATCAAGTTCTTCGAAGCATCTGCTCAAAACAGTACAACATAAATATCGCCACTCATCTTCTTCGTGTGAAAATATAAGTTTTCCTTTCAATTGCTTTGCTTTAAAAACAGTCATTAGGTTGTTGAAGAGTTAGTATATAACTTACAACAAAAATTACGCCATTGCTTTAAAAAACCAGTGAATCACAATGCTATAAACTTCAACATCCTTCGAAATTGTAAACAAAACATCGAAAAGCAAAATTCGCGGGAAAAACCTCACGAGCCCGCACTATTTTTATGCAGCGTCGACAAAAGTCCACCCTGTTCGACTGTGCTGCATGAAAACACGATTGTGCTGCATGGAAACACGACTGTGCTGCAAGGAAATGCGATTGTGCTGCATGGAAACACGTCTGTGCTGCATGGAAATTGACGATCAACCTCGTACCAAGGGTCCCCGTGTTTAAAGGTTCTGGTGCACGAGTTGGGACCTTTAAACACGGGGACCCCTGGGTACGAAGTTGATTGACGATGTCAGTACAAACACAAGTGGCCCAATATCGCAAGCGTCAGTATAGTAATGTGTATTATAGCAAAATTATGTCATAAAATATAAATTTTAAAATGAAATTGACTTGCCTATTTGATAGTGTGTGTTCTCCTTTTATTTCTCTTTTGTTAGACTAATATTTTTCGAGACTTTGCACTCGATGGACGATGGTACTAATATACATACTATATGATAAAGGCAAACTACTTACAATCCATCGTCGGCTTATGCAATATTTTAATTTTGGGATAGGTAATAGGACCTCTACATGCGTCTTGGACCTGTGGTGTACTTAAAATCATTATTTATCTAATGGATTACTGTTATTTTCAACGGGGTCTTGAAAGTAGACCATGCCGTGAAACATTGTATAAAAGGTGCACGCGTTGTTTTGTGTCTCTTTTTGTTATTCCATTGTAGAAATATCGTGATTGAAGTTAGCATGTGCTGTATGTAAAGTTATTACTTGGTAATTGATAGGTGTAATTTGACGATGCACATGAATTTATCGATATCACAGGGTCGGATTTGACCATACTGCGATGTTGTAAATTAGGAATTGGTAACAAGACTTGTGATTTTGCGCTGTGTAATTTTCCTGTATCTCATTTGAGTAAATGGTTTTCTTAAAAATATCTTCACAGGGTCTGGAAAGTAGACCATGCAGTGAGATATTGTAAGCTTAATCCTTGTTGTTAACTGTGTATTCCATAATCTGTCCGTCACATGTGGTTAAGTCTATGTGAGGATTGTAGGTTTATCCCTTAGTATTAAAGTATGGATAAAGTTAGATTATGTACATACTCACAGGGTCTTGAAAGCAAACCATGGCGTGATATATGCATGTCATGAGTCCTATGGTTTGTGTCATGTATGTAACTATTGATAGGTAGAATAAGTAGTTGTTGTACAATCTACAAAAATGCGGTTTATAGAATCTGGCAGAACATTTAATTATGCCACAAGGGTAAACTTTATTTAAAATTGGTGTCTTAGACTAATCATCCCAGATGTTTTGTAAAATGGCGCCCAGATAATTACGATAATTATTAATTACGATATTTCTACAATGGATTCACATATAAGGATATGCAACGCACTGTTATACACGTGCACCTCTTATACGGGGTCTCACGGCATGGTCTACTTTCAAGGCCCCGTTGAAAATATAAGAAATCCATTGGGTATATGTGTGTATATGTATGTATATGTGTATATGTGTATATGTGTATGTATGTATATGTGTGTATATGTGTATGTATGTATATGTGTGTATATGTGTACATATATGTGTAATGAATATAAGTAAACCACAGGTCCAAGACACATGTAGAGGTCTTATTACCTATTCCAAAATTAAAATATTGCAAGCCCTATTACCAATTCCAAATTTGCAATATCGCAGTATGGTCAAATCCGGCCCTGTGATAAATTCATGTGCATCATCAAATCACACCTATCAATTACCAAGTAATAACTTTACATACAATACACGCTAACTTCATTTACGATATTTCTACAATGGATTTACATAAAAATACACAAAACAACGCACGCATTACACGCGTGCACCTTTTACACAATATTTCACGGGATGGTCTATTTCAAGACCCCGTTGAAAATATAAGAAATCCATTGGATGAATAATGATTATAAAATATAAGTAAACCACAGGTCCGAGACGCATGTAGAGGTCCTATTACCTATCCCAAAATTCAAATATTGCGAATTTTTTTGGAGAATAAAGCGATTTGAGTGGGAGAATTTTAGATTCGAAGTGCCGTGCAGATGGATCGATGATTGTAAGTAGTTTGCTTAAAGTATCATATAGTATGTATATTAGTGTCATCGTCCATCGAGTGCAAAGTCTCGAAAAATATTAGTCTAACAAAAGAGAAATAAAAGGAGAACACACACTATCAAATAGGCAAGTCAATTTCATTTTAAAATTTATATTTTATCACATAATTTTACTATAATACACATTACTATACTGACGCTTGCGATATTGGGCCATCTGTGTTTGTACTGACATCGTCAATCAACTTCGTACCCAGGGGTCCCCGTGTTTAAAGGTCCCAACTCGTGCACCAGAACCTTTAAACACGGGGACCCTTGGTACGAGGTTGATCGTCAATTTCCATGCAGCACAGGTGCATTTCTGTGCAGCACAATCGCATTTCCTTGCAGCACAGTCGTGTTTCCATGCAGCACAGTCGTGTTTCCATGCAGCACAGTCGTGTTTCCATGCAGCACAATCGCATTTCCATGCAGCACAGTCGTGTTTTCATGCAGCACAATCGTGTTTCCATGCAGCACAATCGTGTTTTCATGCAGCACAGTCGTGTTTCCATGCAGCACAGTCGCATTTCCTTGCAGCACAGTCGCGTTTCCTTGCAGCACAATCGTGTTTTCATGCAGCACAGTCGCATTTCCTTGCAGCACAGTCGCGTTTCCATGCAGCACAGTCGCATTTCCTTGCAGCACAGTCGCGTTTCCATGCAGCAGAGGTGGCCCTTATCGGCCACCGTACATATGGGAACTGAATGACCAGCGCGCAGTTTACCGAGACTGATCCCACTTTAGCGAGTCGAGATCTTGGCATTGCCGATTAGATATGAAACCCTTAAACACGCCTACCTGGCTGGCCGAGTTGTTTTTCCGCTAGTAGATCAGCGAACCACATACGGGTACCTCATTTTCGCACTAATCGGCACCAGTCTTCGTTTAGAGCCAAAGGGGCCAGACTCTATAATAAGCTGGTGAATTATATTAACTGTGATTATATTTGTTACAAATAAGCGTGCGTTCCTATGGTGCGTTCCAGTCACGCGTTTTTATACGCACGGAAAAGTTTAAATCTTTTCAAATTTAACACTATAGTATGAATTACCTGTACAAATGAACATTAAATCATTCACAAAACTATGTGTTTTCCTTTTGTTCATTCGGTTATTTCATAAGTAACAATTAAAGATATTTCAACTTTTCCGTGCGTACATACACGCACAACGTACTCATTTTATCAGCATTCAATTAGCTGAATTCATATCAGAAGACGGATTTCCGTCTAAGACGGGAACAGTCGTCTCAGACGAGAAACTCGTCTTGATATAAATTCGGTTAACGACGGGTTCTCCCGTCTGAACGACGGGAAAGTTAGACGAGTTTCTCGTCTTAGACAGAAATCCGTCTTAAATCCGTCTTAAATTTATATCAGACGAATAAATCAAGACGGGTTTCTGCTCGTAACGTTCAAAAGAGACTGGGATGGAGGGTCTCCTATTTTTTCGGGTCAATGGGTCTATCCGTCCGATTGTTTTCGTTTCATACTTATACCAGACGGAAATCCGTCACACAAGTTTTCAGCTATTCTTAACTTTTTAGGTTTTGTAACATTTTAGTTTGTGATACTGCTGTAATTCTCTTGCCAAGAAGCAGTAGCTAATTAGGTCTAAAACGTCCAAACAAAAGTATGCTTTATGCAAAGCAGATGACAGATTAAACGGGTTCAGTATGACAAATGATAAACATAGCAAAGCCAAACTTATTAATTCACCGGAAGTGCAAATTTACACCCCCCCCCCCCTCCCGAGATGTAATAAGTGAAAGTTAAATTAGCGCCCTGACGAGTGCCATGGGGATTACCGGACCTAGTTTTTCATTGATGAGAATTAATTCCGATAGCAATATTGCCATATACTATTACAGTCAATAGTCGCTGTGGTTGTCAGCGAGAGCGAAGCCAAACTGAACTCAAAATTATGATCGCATAATTTACAGATGCACATTAAAAGCTATGAACTATTACATGAATCTGTTCTTTTCTTGCGAATATTTTATATTTGCTGCCATGGTGTGCTGTTACCTTATATTATGAATTGACAGCTGAGTATACACAAACAACAGAATCAAATTTCACACATGAACGACAATTATTCATATAGGTACACACGTGACTTTGCGAGTTCTTAGAAGCACGGCAGTTTACTTGGAAAGAGCTAAATTTAAGTGGAATTGTTTACAGCACTTCGCATGAAGACGTGCGAATCATTGGTAAAAATTCGTCGCAAAACTGATGCAAAGGCACTTCCTTTGCGCTATATTTTAAAATTAACTATATTTGATATTTTGCTTGCATTATATTGAAGCGAGCTTTACGAAATTAAGAAATTCGCGTATTAAAACAGAAAGGTCGCGCATTGGTCAACATTGTGTTGTGGATTCAACTTGGCAGAAAAGTCAATAAATTGGAGTTGAAAAACTCGGTAAGTTAAAACATATAAGAGAATGATGTCTTACCTATATCTATGATATATATATAAATTAATATTACATATGCGAGGTAGCTACTACGCCAAAACAACAATTAATATATCGAATAAAGTTTGGCAGCTGATTTAGGAGCTTTATAGTTAGTTTCCAATCAGTCGACACAGATATGAAAAAGACCTCTTTCAGGGGCATTGGGAAAGAACATTTTTGATATTTGAAATTGTTAGGGGCAAGATGAAGTGTAAAATATTTGAATAAATTAACAGGGCAACATATTGAATCAAATTCAATGTTTCGGTAAGAATTTGTGGTCTTTGCCAAAACTATGTAAACTATATTTCAAGCATTGTCATTGGTTTCAAGCTTTCGTTTTTGAAATTTATAATTCCAGACATTAATGACGATATTCGGTTCAATTTGACACATATATATAACGGTTATACAAAAGTACAAAGGCTATTCAGTCAGTAGGCTATATACCTGTTTAAAACATGCATTGTTAGGAAACCCCATTGCACATGGCATCAAGCATGGCATTGTTTGCATGCCATAGAATGCACTAGAATACCGTTTAAAAGTAAACATTATTGAATTGATGCAAGAATTTCAATAAAAGCAAGAGAATTCCTATATACATAGAAACATGTATAGCTTTTCGAGTTTTTATATACTGTATAGTTGTTTGAACACGTGGATCATGGCAAAAAGGCGTATATTCACATGTATGTCGATAGAAGAGCTATATATTAACAGCTTGAACAAGAAGGAAAACAGCGAAAAGACAATGGCACAAAAAAGACGATAAATTGAGATTTCATTGAGGTATATATGGGGTGGCGGTGCGTGGCAGATGTTTCTTGGTAAACATCAGAAATGTAAATTGCGAGTGCTTACTGCAGCTTTTGAGGAGTGATCTCTCATTGTCAAGGCTAAATGTACAGCGTATAATATATCAGTATAACATATATGATATGTTGAAATGAATATTATTTTTCTCAGCTGTCTTCTAACCCTTGCGCCAGCGTAGCTGAGGCTTCTTCTATAGGCGGCCGCCGGGATATCTGCCCTGCTGTTGACGTCAAAAACGGAAACGCCAGGGATTTTCAAAAATAATGTTTTAATCCCGGTCTTATAAGGTCAGTGTACACACTAGTATAGGCGACAAATCGCTGCAACACGTCGCAGCAACAAATTTCTTCGTGTAAACAGGAAACATTATTGTCGCCGCAACATGTCGCAAACTGAATTCAAACTGGTTTGATTTTGTGCGACCTATCGCGGCAACAAAATCGGGAAAATATCATTATCGCTCTTTGGACAGCGTAGGCGTGCGAACATTTTTGCAACATGTCGTCGCAACAAAATACAAATTAACGTCCAACATTTTCTCTTGACGTTTTTGTGCTTCGTCATCCAGCAGCATCATTAAAAGAACTAACATCTTCTTCTTTTTCATTAATTAAGCTAGATGGCATTTGCTGTAGTCTCTTGCTCGCCATATTTAACTAGTTTACAATTCCCCTCATACGAAACGCATCACGGCCACAGAATGTTGCAGCGTTTGTTTCAAGAAGCGGTTCAGCACAGTGGTTCCTCGATTTGTCGCTGTGATCTATTGACGCGTGAGCTCGTGTGAACTCACGTGACTTGTCGCCTGACTGTACACACGAAGCGATTCGTCGCAGCGACGTGTTGTAACGATTTGTCGCCGAGTGTGTACCGACCTTTAGATAGCCTGCGTATAAAAAACGCCTGCTACGCAGGCTAGGTGTTAGACGGCGAACGTTCCATGCGCCGAAACTAATCAAAATAACTACGGCACAAGTTCGGCAACTGATTTGAACAGAGTCTTTGTGAGTTTGCATGGCGATAAAACATGTAATACTGTTGTTTGTGGAAACACCACGTGAATTTACTACTGCAAAGCTCTCCATTCGTAAGCCCGGATCTTCATCAGTGCATGCTAATAATATTGATTAGATATTAATATATTTGAACAGGTTACAGACAAACGAGCTTTCTACGACAAGTTTTCATATGACAAATTTTAAACATGGGCGTCTAAACCCATGTCAAATATGTGACGCATAATACGGCATGACTTACCGTATTTTGTGCCGTGTCGAACCCGATTGATTTAGGCGTCGCTCTTCTGTCGTACTTAATCGTTGTATATTAAGTTCGACTAAGCGCAGATTTTCAATTTGAATGCATGAATTCGAACCTGCCTTATGCTTTCATCCATAAAGCACATATTTTAACATTGATAACATGATGTTGGCCATCATGGTTAGCCGTTAGGTCGTTTTGCGGAAAGGCAATTTAATTTTTTTAAGATTAAAGTGTTGCCTTTTGCTGTTTTGGTGGCAGGCTTGAGATTTGACCCTCTTGTGCGGTCACTAAGGTAACTAGGCTATATTAAAACCTTAGACCATATTTTGCATATACAATCACTATGTAGGTACTTGAATCAAACACTTGCAAAACAAATAGCTTAATTGGTTGTCTCAGATTATCGACCTTGACCTTACTTTGGCGATATCGCATTCTCCACTGCACATCCAAACGACGCATTTTGCCTGCGTCGGGATAATTGCAGTTGAACTACAGGGTGTCCCAACAAACAGCAAAACTATTGAAATAACGTATTGTTAGAATTTGAATACCAGCACAGACACAATACACCCACAAGTGCGTAAAAGCTTGACATAAGTAAATGTTATGCATAAAGACACATGCTGTTTAAAAGAATATTTGTAAAAAGAGAGATTTATGTAATATGCAGCGTTAATTAATTTATTTTTATGTTAGACAAAACGAAGTAAAACTAAACGTTTATGTTTCATTGACAATGAAAGAACGTTATGTTAGATTATTATAACATTGTTTAATTAGTCGGGAGTTTCTCGGACAGCATTCGGAATGATCCGTGAATGCAAAAGTTATGAGCTAAGCAGATTGTTTTTGTAAAGTTTTTAAGATTATACGAGGCTTTATTAAGTAAGATTTATTGTTATTAAATGTCAAGATAGAAGAGAAAACATATGCTTGGGACAGATTTTCTAATTGTTGTTGTTATTTATCGATATTAAATCTTAATCCTGAAACTTCAAGCGTGTTTTATGGTAATATGTTAGTTCCATGCCATCGTCGGTCCAGTTTAAATTCCCAAGACCAGCAAATCGTGCGCTTTACAAAAATATTTTAATTTCTTAATAAGTAAATATATTTAACATATTCACCCTGTCAATATTTTACGCATCTTTGCATTCAGTTTAGTGCTAGAGGATTCAAATTCTAACAATACGTTATTTCAATAGTTTTGGGTTTTTTTTGGGACACCCTGTTTCACATGTAGCTGAGTCTGAGAGTGGAAGAATTAGAATATGATAGATAGATTTATTAAACTTAAAAGACTCGCAGCCTAGGCCTTTACACTTGTCATAGTCCGGGAAATTTTTTTAACACCTTTTTTTAAGGAATATGTTACGAAAAATTTTTCTCTTCCTTTTTGGGAAAAAAATAGGGCCTTTTTTTCGGAAAAAATAGGGCCCTACTTAAAAATTTGACGGAGGGCCTCGCGGGAGGCTCCGTTACGCCACTGAAAATACGCATATCAAAGTAACTTCAACAGTTCAGTCATTATTTGCATGGATACGTAGCCTGCATGGCAGGCGGTCCTTAAAATCGGGCAAGTCAGGCTAATCAATACGGAAAATATTGTTACAGTCGTGCCAATAGAAGTGTTCCGAAAAATGTTGAACAGTTCCTTTCCTAACTTCGAGGAGTTCCTCTGAACAATTCCTCAACAATTTGATAAGTTCCTTAAAAAGTTCCTAACTTCCTGTTTCATTGATCAATCAGATTGCTCAAAAATAAAATATAAAATTTGATTGGTTAATGAAACAGGAAGTTAGGAACCTTTTAAGGAACTTATCAAATTGTTGAGGAATTGTTCAGAGGTGTTCCTTCAAGTTAGGAAATGAACTGGTCAACATTTTTCGGAACGCTTCTATTAGCACGACTGAAAACAAAATAATTAGTTTCTCCACTCGCTTTGTAAATTGGAAAATAATCCCTTAAACAAACAATGCTTCGATTATAATATGCATGTTTAACGCTTCTATAGTTTCAGCTAATCTCATATGTATAGCCCTATACTCGCAGATTGAATTTGTTCTTATAAATACGAGTGCCAAAAGTACAAATTTCAGTTTACTATATTTTTAATTTTAGGTTACACAAAACACTTTCATACCTTTAATCCTTTTTAATTCCATTCCACTTTTATCCGTATTTTTCCAAAGATGTACATTTATACTTTTCAAGATTTCCTAAAACAAATACAAAGTTGTCAAATTAATTCAGTTGTTACAAAAAATGGATTCAATGCATTAGACGGTTTACAGAGCTACAGAAGCGTAGCATTTTACACGCGCGTGGTCTTGACATTACTTTTTGGAATTGCTGTGCGCAAACGACATTTAGAATCGCTCTATATTCGCTACGCGAGTCAGTTACTGTTAGTTTAATTCAGTTGTTAGCATGTTAGTTTGTTAGCAATCATTGCGGTGCGCAAACGAAGTTTGACATCGCTTTATATTCGCTGCGTGAGTTTGTTTGTCTGTTTTAATTAGTATAGTTTAGTAAGATCTTCCGAAATGCTTTGGTATTCATTAGTCACTCGGGCACCTCCAACTATAGGTACTGTGGTAGACGCTGATGGAATATTTCACTGACGTATAAGCATATATGGATTATAAACCAGGCACTGTATAGTGGATCCAAATAAGATGACCGCATACCCAGGAGTGCATAATTTCGTCAAGATTTTACAGCTATTTTTGCCTCTAAAAGTTTCAAATGAAAGTTTTGCAACTGAAACTTTGAACTGAAAATCATCATGAAGATATGATAAATCTTTCGAAGTTATTATCGTCATATCTGAGGAATAAACAGTGCAACTTATATGTTCAAACTAGGCCGGGTTACTCGTGGCCAGTACGAACACACTTGGCGTAAATGGAAGCTATCAAAGGGATGGATTTAGTGGGGGAGTTGCTATTCTTCGTGATAAACCAAAAAAATATTAGAGACAAAATGAGATACAATAATTTGAGTACTAACATGATACTAAACGAACTGTGCATGAACGTGCAACAATTACAATTCAAATACAGTAGTCAAACAAGACTAGCGACTAGTACCTTGCTGCAGTGGTATGTGACGTGGCTTATTGATGGGCGCACCGACACAACTCGGCACCAGAGCTGGCAGAGCACCTCCATCCCTGAGCTATCTTTGTATATGAAGGTGCAATCTAGTAATGCCCTGCTCCAGTAGTAATAAGAGAAATTTGCATGAGAGTTTTCTCAACTGTCATGTAGGGTTGCGTGAGATGGCAGTTGACTGAATATTACAAGCAATTGTAGCAGAAACTGTCATCAAGTATAAGATAGTCCCTCGAACATCCGACATGTATATGCTCTATCAGCCCCGAGAAAGCGTCCGTTCATGATTGGGGAGATTTCCCAACAACGTTTTGCCAGTACACCCGGAAAGCATGTCAACTATATATAGCCTTTTTTGTGTATGTGACATTAGTTAAAGCCCAAACGAGGCTCTCTAGCCAAGGTGACCCACTTTCCGTAAGCGTATATGTCGTTCACCTTGAACAAAGATTTTGCAAGAATTTTCTTCACTTCTTATCTAATTGATATTCATAGGGTTTCACGTCTCCATACTAGATTCTGCCTTGCTTAAGTTCGCTATTCTGACAGATAGAAAAACCTACAAATGGTCTGTAATACGTGATGTATACTACAGCAATATAATCAGCTTACGTAATTGAATTATTTTAGGTCCGACTCTCGCAATGAATTTTCCCCTGGTTGAGAAGACATTTTATGTTCTATGTCTTATCAACTGGTTTTTATCAGGTATGCTTTACTTTATAGCACCTTTCAAACAAACATTTTCAAATTTATATACAATCATTGAAGGGTTTTCTAGACGCAAATTTTTCTACATTTCATTAGATCTAACCAGGAGCAGTTGTGAAAAATGAAACCATATGCCTTCTGAGGGGAATCGAACCTGCGGAATCGACCGCTGCACCGGAATCGCAGGGCCGCAAGTTCGATTCCTGCCGCGGAAGGGCCGATAGTTGCATAGTGAAACTAGTAGAGAGTTTGGCAACCTAGAACGGCAACGATAACGGCAACGGGAAAAATATAATTGCTTATATTGTTGTATTTGAGCCAAAGTATACGTTACTACACTTAATTTGCCTCTTTAAGTATTCCTGTTTCTTTCAAACGTACCCTTAAGTAAAAATAGTCCGCGAATTCAAATAAACACCTCAAATAACATCGAACGAATTAACCGTCGCCGTAGTCATGCACCGTGAAAATGATGCAAATCACGTACTAGTTTCAACAACTACGGCATTGCACAACGCTTAAGACCATGTAATTTACATTTGCCTTTGTCTTTGAGGATTAATGCTATTGTTGATGACCATATTGCCGTTGCCGTTGCCCTTGTATTTGCCAAACTCTCTAATATCGTACTGAAGGCCGAGAGACGCGCGCAAAATTGATAGCAAGTAAGACTAGGGTAGCACCTTTGAAAAATGTATAAAATTCGCACTAGAAAAATCTCCATCTATACAAATCCCTTGAACAATAGGCAATACACCCTTTCGATAATTACGTGACAACTACACTGTTTTCAACATAGGACCACCTTAAATGGAAAGTATTTCAAGGTTTTTTTTCTCATGGGCTATGCAGAGAAGCAGAATATCATCCTTCAACACATGCACGAAAACACATTTGACCAATAAATGCGCAAATTAAAACCCAAAGAAAAATCATAAGCGTCATATATGTGATAAAACACTCCTACTCGTGCTTTAAATAGTACTTAAACGAGGCTCATGACCTGAAGCCTCGTTTTCGTGTTAATGCTTCCATATTTATTGATGAAAACCCAAAATGTTTCTCATGCATGTGTTGAAGAAGGATGTTCTGCTTCTCTGCAGAGCCCATGCATGAGAAAAAACCCTGAAAACAGTGTAGTTGTGACATAATTATAGAAAAGGGTGTATTCCAGCTTTTAATTTATGCGCGCAGGGGGGGGAGTAAGGTATCATATTGCTGATTATGCTAAAAAAATAAAAATGAATTAAAGCTGGAATTGCCTATAACTTCTATCGAGTGAAATGCCCAAAGTTCTAAGAATAATTTTCCCATTTGCTGAAACATTCCCAGAATTAAGTTCTCAATCTTGCATATTCATGCAGCCCAAAAATCCAGTGATATAATCAATCAACTGCATTTATAATATAGCATTTGTAAATTCTGAAAGTTGATTGGCTAAGAGCCGTGTTGATATAACTCAATGTCAACACGGAGACGTTGGAAAATTTCTTTCTTTATGTTTCTTTGTGCTATATTATAAAACAAATATAAAACATTTTTTCCGTATTGATATACAGTTATATCAACACTCGTGGAAATTAGGAAAACTCGAAATTGTGTGAAACTCCGCCCTTCGGGCGTCGTGTTTCCACACAATTTCTCGTTTTCCCAATTTCTATACTCGTGTTGATATAACTGTATATCAACACGGAAGATGTTTTATATTTGTTAAATATTAGTCCACTGCATTTATTAGATCGCAGGACCATGCTTGTGGTGTCATTTAAACTTGTTTATACTGCATTCTACATTTTAGCAACAAAATCCGAGGATATTTACGTGTCCAATAAAGCAACAAAGGTAAAAAACTGCGGTTTAAGCGAGGATGTCCCATGCCCTACCATTAACGCAGCAATCCAGATTGCCAAGGAGCATTCCCAAATCAATATTGTACCATCAGACGTGGCCTACAAAGACTGTCCGGTATATGTGAACAAACCTGTAGCTTTCAACGGAATTCGTGGAAATCCAGTAATAGATTGTGGCGGGAAAGATGCTTTTATATTTAATTTTGGCACTAAGGGCCCAGCTAAAAGGAAGGCCAAGAAAATTAAAGAACAGCCGGTTATAAAACTTGACGTGTCAAATCTGAAAATCCAGAATTCCAAAACAGGGTTCTCGTTTTTGAAGCCGACAAGTAATGCGAATCTTCGCTTAGAGAATATAGAATTCGTGAAAAATGACATTGATATTTCTTGGAGCAATTCATATCTGTGTTATCTGGTTATGACAAATGTGAAAACATTTGGGTCTTCTGGTAATGCAATTGATATCAAAGGATGCAATAAAACAACGATGCTACTATCCAACACAAAATTCAATGGGAAATACTTCAGAGTTATATCAACCGACAAAAGTTCTACTTTGGATATTAAAATGGATAGAGTTGTATTTGATATGAGCAGCAGAGCAAAAGAAATCGTTTCAACCGATTCGAACAAAGAAATTCAATTTCACTCCCCGATGCACATCGTGACTGCGTTAAAAAGAACTGCAGTTACTATCAAAGCATCCAAATTTTCAAATCATTTTGGAGAAAGAAATTCAATGATCAATGTTACAGCTTTTCAAAAAACAAAAAACGGCTTCACTTCTCCAATAAACATCAACTTCAATAACGTAACATTTAGCAACAATACAGTACAGAATGGCGGTGGCGGTGCAATTTCGTTCAATCTTTCAAATAAACTAACGAAAAACAAACCACACATTATAGTATTTAATGCCTCTACGTTTATCGACAACTCAGCCTCGAATGGTGGTGCAGTATGGTTCTCAGATTGGGAGAAAAAGAAAGTACAATTTAATGGCAGCACATTTATAGATAACAAAGCCCTCGGCACCGAGGATGAGAATGGCAACGGAGGTGCCTTGTTTGTGCTGGGTGGTAAATTTTTGATAAAAATCTCCAAATTCGAAGGCAATATGGCAACAAAAGCTGGCGGGACTTTGTATTTATATAACAAGAAAGTAACAAGCATAAAAGTGTCTAATTCAGTTTTTCAAAATAAACGTTCCTGGAGCCGCATAGAAGGAGGTGTAATGTATTTCAGTGATGTTCCGACATTCTTTTCTGGCAAAGTTGTGTTCAACCTCAGTTCAAGTAATTCCGGAGAATCGATGTTTTTATACGAAGGCCGACCAAGTCTACTGCGCATGAGCAATACGAGTGTTTTCATTTGTCCAAAAGGGTATAATTACGAAGAACCGAAGTATATAATAAAACTGAAAAGCAGCAAGCAACAGAAGTTCTTTCCAGTCTACCACATCTTTGCATTCTCGTGTAAACCTTGTCAGGATCTGTTTTATAGCACCGCACGTGGATTCCGGCAAGCGAACGAGACAGAAACGCGCGGGAAATGTCACGTGTGTCCGTATGGCGCGTCGTGTAACGGCACGATCCGCGCGAGGGCAAACTTCTGGGGCAAGGTCGAAGGAGATAAGGTCAAAATGATCCCTTGTCCAAAAGGTTACTGCTGTGATCGTGAACCATGTGAAAGTTATGATTCTTGTCGTGCGCACAGAACTGGCACATTGTGTGGTCACTGCTCTGATGGTTATACAGAAAGTATGAGCTCAACAAAATGTTTTCCCAATGAAGAATGCGACAAAGTATGGTGGTTATGGCCAGTATTCAATGTCTTTGGCATTTTCGTCATTCTTTGTTTCCATCAAGAGGTAAGATAAAGATACCATGATTCCAAAAACTATTAAAGAATGCCCACATACTTGATATATCTTAAAGAATTTGACATATTGTCACAAATAGCCAATCACATACGAGGTTCACATTCTGAAGCTAATCAAATATGAAAGTGAGATTGGCAATCGATTTGACCAGAGGCTCCGAAGGTCTTCGTGTTTCTTTTGCCTCGGCGTTCTTTAAGAGTGAATGTCAGTAAAAATCGAACATATGAGATATTTCGCGGCCACGACTGAAAAATCGATTTTGCTCAAATTTTGCCCAGATATACCTTATTATATCGGAAAATGCACCATATATTTTTTTAGGCCAAATGCTTTTTTAACTTTGAGAAAATGCCGTTTTAACACGACCACCCTAAATCGCCATTTTGTCTGGGAAAATATGCGCTGAGTTTACCGACAAATGTCACGACGACAACCGTTTATAATCGATCTAAAACCCTAAAAATTTTGTTTTCGGTTATTCAAAGGACCGGGTACGTGACTTACAAGAAATCTGAGTTACTTTTAGGAATAGAAATAATCGTAGTTTTGGAGCACACTATCTTACTTCATTTACGATACCCTCTTAACAAAACCGATTTTCACTATGGGATAAAGCTCCAAATCGATCATGCTTCTACTAGTTGGCCCTTTAATAAACAAGCTTTCAATTGACGTAAATACTTCTTTGGGCAAATGAATACGCGATAAACGACAGCGCGCTGAAATCGTCCGTTTTTGACGTCTTGCAAGCAAACGCTGTTAATTTACATACCGTCGAAAGTAAACAATTTAATCAAGTATTCTAAGTATTTTACCTTTTGAGAAGAAGATATATTCTTGAATGGAGACTTTTGCCTTGCTAAGTTTAAAATTGGTCCAAAAATCCTGATATATTTGTAAAATATCATCATATACAGGTATTTTGAGATATAATATTGTTGTCAGTTGCATAATATAAACTTCAGATCACTGTTCAATATTGTCTACTTTTAATAGCGCTGACATACAAATCGATGAGCTGTTTAGGGATTATATTTGCTACTAAATTTCCCAAAATTAGAACTTCAGTTGTTGTTTTGTTCCAGTTTGATCCATATAATGTACCATTTTACATATCGACTATGCTATCAAGTATAAATGTTTACGAATACATAAGTTAATTATTAAGCAGCTGTTAATAGCGTGTGTGTGAAATGAACATTAATCCATACAAGGTTTGTTATTTTATTACATATTCTACCACCTCAAACTCAAATTATAGCAAATAGTTTAGAATAATTATTTTAATGTGTGTTCACTTTGATGCTCAGTTAAAATAATCAGTAAAATTACTTTCTTTTGATACACTATTGTTTATTGATCTTATTATATTCCACAAGCACTAGTAACCCAAAAATACAGCATTGAGATATGTTACCCAAGTGCGACACCAGAAATTATTATTGTCTCCCCACACGTCGCGTTTAAAAAAAATGGAAGCTTGTTGCTCGTTTAACGCCGGATTAACCATAGGGATTAACCATGTATCAGATGCGGCAAATGCCACGGGCCTCGCGCTTATGGGGGCACAACCTCGTACCCAGGCTTCAATTCGCGACTAGCCCTGGGTACGAGGTTGATGGGGGCATTGCGCTTTACTGTGCCACGCCCATTTTTACGAGAACACGGCCATTTTCTATTGGGACACACCCATTTTAGGTGCCTCGCGAATTTAGGGCCCCTAGGCTTGGCAGTTGGCCCCAGCACGGCCCCGGGAAGATATGCAATACTCATGTGCATATAATCTCCAGTTGCGTTGAGCTGTTATATTATGATCCTGTTTATATATGTTGACCCAACAACTGGGCCAGGCAGGCCATTGTCTCGTTTATAATTGATGCTAATAAATTGAAATATTGAAAAAAATTATTTAACAATTTTGTGTGTCTTTAAATTCAAAGGTTTTCATGACAAGGCTGAGAGTGGGGGTGGGGAGGGGGTTGGGGGCCTCGCGCTAAAATCTGCCACGAGCCTCGCGCGACGTTAATCCGGCCCTGGTCACTTGTCGGTAGTTCTTGTGGTTTTAATGCCAATTGCCAAAGAACGAAAGAGAGCACCGATGACTTCCCCCGTCGGAGAATTACTGGCGCAGCCCAGGCCAGCTCAGTGAAATATGGCGGCCCAGGGCCAATTATATCTTTGGGGCCCCGGTGAACCACAATAATTCCCCTCCCACCCCTCCGTCGACAAACTTTTTACCCCCTTGCAAATTTGTATTTGCCGGCCCTCCTTGAGCTGGGGTCGCGGAGAAAATTTCTCCCTTTGCCCCCCCCCCCCTGCAAGGGCGGCCCTGGCGCCACCCCTGTCTTATCATAACCATCTACTTCAAATACTTTTTAAAGCCCTGGTCTTTTTCAAGTAGTTTTTTGTCACGAAAAAGTAAAAGACTTAGAAATGGTGATTAAATTATTTACTACGGTATGTTATTTAATAACGAGCAAGGGTTATGGTAGGGATTTAAGTTATAAAGTTGGTGTTTGGAATAGGGTTAGTGTAAAGCTTTGTTACGTTTTGTCATTCTGAGGCCAGCGAAATAACCTCTTACGCAACATGCATGCGTACGCGTCTACGGTCTACGTCTACTATCGTCAAGAAACAATCAATACGTATAATCGTGGTCTGTGGGATTTTAATGAGATTTAATGACCTTGCAGTTTTAACACACATTAGCCGAATTCATATTAGAGACGGGAAACTCGTATTAGACGGGAAACTCGTCTTAAATTCGAATTTATCCGTCCCTACAGGGGCGTAGCTAAGGGGGGGTGCAGGGGGTGCCGCACCCCCCCAATGCCGTGTCCGTCGGCACAATAAATCAGTTGTCGGCAAAATGAATTGGATCAAGCCAATAGGCAATACCTGATCGGAATGAGATTGTTTGTAGAAAATTTGTAGAAAATGCGAGATCGAAAAGATGGATATGTCGACTGAAAGCTCGGTCATTTTCCAAACATTCAGCCAAATTGGCCAAGAACTTATTAATCTAATACGCTATTTAATAGTATTAAATTTTCTTGCAATTTTGTGAAATATGATACCATAGGAAACTCGAAGCACATGTGCGTGTTGACTGTTGATGCGTCTGCGCTTCCGATTTTATAATTGTGTAAAGCCAGTAAAGGTCTTAGAAATTACACCTAACGGTCTTATATACAATGAGAAATACGAAGATGATTTAAAAGAATGGACAGTAGCAAGCAAAAACGCAAACGGAAGAGAGAGAAACTGACGTGTTTAGTTTGTAATCGGTCGTTTGATGACGATTGGATGTGCTTTTTTGACATTTATACCAGGTATTTTAAGGCACTATTTCACCTATTTCAAAAATAAATTATCTTACTACTCGGATTTCGTCGTTATACATCACTTAAAAATGAATACGGTTCGTTTTGACCACGCCCTAACAACGTGCTAGCCACGCCCTTTTGTCGGCAAAAAGTTGTCTTGCACCCCCCGAAAAGGATAGTCTTTGCTCCGCCCCTGCGTCCCTAAATTCATATTCAGACGGGTTTTCACAGACGAGTTTCCGTCTAAGACGAGTTTCGCGTCCCTAATATGAATTCGGCTATTCAAATATAAGGGCTGGTAAACTAAAAATAAAAACTCCTTATATTGATAAACATTATAAACGTTCATTTCATGTACACGCACGCTAACACCTGCTTAATAATTAACTTACGTCTTCGTAAACATTATAGTCGATACATAACTGGTACATTAATTTAATAATATGGACAAAATGGAACAAAACCTCTGAAAACAGCAGTTGTAGTTCTAATTATTTTGGTAAATTTAGTAACAAATATAATCCCTAAACAGCTCATCGCTTTGTATGTTAGCGCTATTAAAAGTAGACAATATTGAACAGTGATCTGAAGTTATCATGCAACTGACAACAATATCTCAAAATACCTGTATATGATGATATTTCACAAATATATCGGGATTTCTGGACCAATTTTAAACTTAGCAAGGCAAAAAGTCTCCATTCAAGAATATAACTTCTTATCAAAAGGTAAAATACTTAAAATACTTTATTAAATTGTTTACTTCGACGGTATGTAAATTAACAGCGTTTGCTTGCAAGACGTCAAAAACGGACGATTTCAACGCGCTGTCGTTTATCGCGTATTCATTTGCCAAAAGAAGTATTTACGTCAATTGAAAGCTTGTTTATTAAAGAGCCAACTAGTAGAAGCATGATCGATTTGGAGCTTTATCCCATGGTGAAAATCGGTTTTGTTAAGAGGGTATCGTAAATGAGGTAAGATAGTGTGCTTCAAAACTACGATTATTTCTATTCCTAAAAGTAACTCAGATTTCCTGTAAGTCACGTACCCGGTCCTTTGAATAACCGAAAACAAGATTTTTAGGGTTTTAGATTGATTAGAAACGGTTTTCGTCGTGAAATTTGTCGGTAAAATCAGCGCATATTTTCCCAGACAAAATGGCGATTTAGGGTGGTCGTGTTAAAACGGCATTCTCTCAAAGTTAAAAAAGCATTTGACCTAAAAAAATATATGGTGCATTTTCCGATATAATAAGGTATATCTGGGCAAAATTTGAGCAAAATCGATTTTTCCGTCGTGGCCGCCTTATGTTTGATTTTTGTGGACATCCTCTC